TCAGCGGAAGCGCCAGGATCAGTGCCGCTTTCCAGCTGATCAGCACTTCTTCAGGGCTGTCAGCTGGAGCTCGTTGCTGATCCTGGTGCTTCTGCTGAGCCCAGAAGAAGCGCCGATCAGCTGGAATGTTGCAGCATCTCCAGGGTCTTGTGATTTACATTCAGATGCTTGGCAACTGGTTCATATTTATGACGGTCACAGTGTCCCAGGGTCATGTGAAGTGACCAAAACCTGCTGCAACCACCCAGCAGACGGGGGGGAGAATAAAAACCAAACACCCCCCACCCCACCCCCACTGCCAATCCTCAACAATGCTCACAACAATGAAAATGCTCACAACAATGAAAACCTCGGACAGGAGGAAGAGCGCCGCCAGGTGGGCAGGCAGGTATCTTGCTCGGCTCTGGCTTGGGGGGCACTTTTTTCAGTGCCATTGTAACTTCGAACAGTCACTAAGCGAAATGTTATAAGTTGAGGACTACCTGTACTTTATCACTTTTTTCCTCTTTTTTTTTGGTCAAGTTTTTGACACCTTGCTAGGCAACTAGTGGTACTCGGATGTTGCCATATCCTAAAAGTGGTACAATGGGTGAAAAGGTTGAAAAGCCCTGCTTTAAGGACACCTCTTGCCTTGGAGTTCTGTTTTTACTGGTCTCCTCTATTGGAACCATGACAAAAGTGACTTACGACCATTTTTCACACTTACGACCATTGCAGCATCCCCAGTTGTCACGTCATCAAAATTTGGGTTCCTGGCATCTGGCCTGTATTTTATAACGGTTGCAGCATCCCGGGGTCCCTTTGCAACTTTCCCAGCTTCTGACAAGCAGAATCAATGGGGGAAGCCAGATTCGCTTAACGACCCCGTGATTCACTTAACAACTGCAGTGATTCTCTTAACAGCTGTGGCAAAAAGGTCATAAAATGGGGCACGACTCACTTAACCGCTTCCTTGCTTAGAAACGGAAATGTTGGGCTCAACATTTGGTTGTAAGTCGAGGTCTACCTGTGTGGTATTTTAATTTTATATTAGCTTTCTGTGGTTCTCTCCCCTCACTTCCTTTTTTATTTCCTTTTGTTTTTTCCCCCCCAGGTCACGTTAAACTGACAGATTTTGGACTGTGTAAAGAATCCATTCATGATGGAACAGTCACACATACGTTCTGTGGAACAATAGAATACATGTGAGTCCAGCTGACAAGACAGAAAAGTGTTGATAATGGTGGTCAAAGAGAAGTATTTATTTTTCCCCTCTTTAGATTAACCTGCCTAGTGGTCAGAGCAACCCATGAATGTTTCCAGTTTAGATTAGGAGAGGACACACACACACACACACACACATCCCAGCATTTCTTGAGAAGATGAAAAGATTCTCTCCATGTACATGTGTTGGACCTAAATTACTGTAACCAGTCAAAATGACCTCGCCAAATCTGAGGAGACCAGGCTGATGAAACTGATTCTTTAGCAAGCAGGACTCTTGTCAATTTAATCTAAACGTTGTCTTTTCTCTCAAAAAAAGACTTACCTTTTTAAACGTCCCAAGAGGATCCTTTATTATTTTTTTATTTAGCTACTGGATTTATATCAAGATCAAGGCAGCATACACCATACAGGTAGTCCTTGACTTACAACAGTAATGGAGCCTGTCCATTACTTGTCGCAGGTCACGATGGTCATTGAGTGAAGTACCAAACCTAAGGACTCCCTCATTCCCAGTGAATCATTAAACAAGGGACTGGAGGCTAAAACATACAAGGATCAGTTGCTGGAATTAGGTATGTCTAGTTCAGGGGTAGGCAACCTTGACTCTTTTATGACTCGTGGACTTCAACTCCCAGAATTCCTGAGCCAGCCATGCTGAGGGGAAAGGGAGAGGTTTCCAAGCTGAGCCATGTTGGCTCAGGAATTCTGGGAGTTGAAGTCCACGAGTCATAAAAGAGCCAAGGTTGCCTACCCCTGGTCTAGTTTAATGAAGAGAAGGATGAAGGGTGACATGATAGCAAGTCTTCCAGTATCTCAGGGGCTGCCACAAAGAAGAGGGAGTCAATCTATTCTCCAAAGCCCCAGAAGGCAGGACAAGAAGCAACGGGTGGAAACTAATCAAGGAGAGAAGCAACCTAGAACTAAGGAGAAACTTCCTGACAGTTAGAACAATTAACCAGTGGAACAACCTGCCTCCAGAAGCGGTGAATGCTCCAACACTGGAAGTTTTTAAGAAGAGACCGGACAGCCATTTGTCCGAAATGGTATAGGGTTTCCTGCCTGAGCAGGGGGTTGGACTAGATGACCCTCCAAGGTCCCTCCCTTGGAGGCCTAGTGTAGGCTTGGGCTCACATGCTCTGAGCCCCCCCAGCCCTCTCCCACTCCCAAATTACTGCACTCCCTATCCCGGCGAGATGGGAGATAAGTGATGGGGTATCTTAAGCACTCGCTCCTTTAATTTTCCCCCTCAACAACAATCCTATGAGGTAGAATGGATTCACAGTGTCACTTAGTGCCTTTCCACACCAAAGGGTGGGCTTGAAATAGGACTTAGCATTCTAATTACTGGAGTCACCCTGTTTAATGCTTTGAGAAGACGCTGGTTTTGATAAGATGTCTTGAGCTGTAAGGATTGGAAGCATGTTTCTCGTTTGGCCTCCTGAATTTTGCAAGACAAGGGTCACCCTGCACGTACCACTGAGATTTCGTCAGCGCCACAATAAGTGTCAAGGTTTTCACGTGCTATCAATTGAAAGAGATATAGTACATTTTACTACAAGTGGTCCTCGGGCTTACAACTGGCAGCTTAGCGATCGTTCAGAGTTACAACTGGAAAAAGGGAGTTACGATACAGTTCAGTTTTTGAAGGAGGAAACTATTTCATTGATTAATTGTTCTCACTGTCAGGAAATTCCTCATTTCCAGATTGGATCTCCCTCTGGCAAGCTTCCACCCATTGCTTCCTGTCCTGCCCTCAGGTGCTTTGGATAATAAATCAATCCCCTCTTCTCTCTGACAGCCCCTTAAATAGTGGAAGACAGTTATTATGTCCCCCAATCCTTCTCTTTGATAGGCTAGCCCAAGGGTCTTCAAACTTGGCCCTTTTATGGCTTGTGGACTTCAACTCCCAGAATTCCTCAGCCAGTGTACTTGGCTGAGGAATTCTGGGAGTTGAAGTCCACAAGTCATAAAAGGGCCAAGTTTGAAGACCCCTGTCTTAGATCAATATCTCTCAACTTCGGCAACCCCTTTCAGATTGTGGACTTCAACTCCCAGAATTCCTCAGCCAATATGGCTGGCTAGGGAATTCTGGGAGTTGAAGTCCACATATCTGAAAGGGTTGGTCGAGGTTGAGAGACATTGCCTTAGTTCATCTTACGGAACAACTATAGCTTTGCCCGGTTTTTATTTGCCACTCTCTCTTCCACTTCCTCTTCTGAATGAGCGCTGTAGACTTGTGTGCCTGGCTGAGGAATTCTGGGAGTTGAAGTCCACAAGTCATAAAAGAGCCAAGTTTGAAGACCCCTGAGCTAGACATACCTAACTCCCACTAATTGTTCATCATAGGATTTAGCTTCCACACCCATTATCATCTTTGTTGCTCTTCTCTGCACTCTTTCTAGGACCTTGGCCTCTTTTTTATATTGTGGTGACCAGAACTGGGCACAGTGTCCCAAATGTGGCCTCAATAGTCCAGTAAATCACCTCTCGTGATCTTGATGCCATCCTTCTGTCGATGCAGCCTAGGATTGCATTGGGTTTTTGGGGCAGATAAAGCATACTGCTGGCTCAAGTGATGGTCCACCAGGACACCTAGATCCCTCTCACAGGCAGTACTGTTGAACCAGGTCCTGCCTATCCTATACCTTTGCCTCTGTTTTTTAAAGTTCAGGAACTTACTTTTCATACTCTTGTCAGCTCAGCTTGATGTTTTACAACACAGGTGTCAAACTCGCCGTGACACGTGATGTGTCGTGACATATCACGTCTTTTTTCGCATTGCCGGAGCTTGGGGGGGGGCACGGCCTCCGTGTGATGCAACCGGCCCATGGGCCGGCAGTGACACCCCTGTTTTACAAGAAGCGGTCACTACTCATAATTCTACGTATAGCGAGTTGGCCAAGCTAGTCACCTGGAGCAAGGCTTTTCAACCAGTGGTACAGGTGCCACCTGTGGTACATTGGCACCTGGCAGGTGGTATGCAACCATCCTAGAAAAGTGGTAGCGGGGGAGGGGAATGAGCTGAACCGGTGGCAGCACCGCACAAGCCTGAGCGAGAGACGGCTGGAGCTGCAGGGCTGTCAGGGCTCAGCGGAAGCGCCAGGATCAGCGCCAGGCTCCAGCTGGAGCTCGGCACTGATCCTGGGGCTTCTGCTGAGCCCAGAAGAAGCACCTATCAGCTGGAATGCTGCAGCATCTCCAGGGTCTTGTGATTTACATCCAGATGCTTGGCAACTGATTCATATTTATGACGGTCACAGTGTCCCAGGGTCATGTGAAGTGACCAAAACCTGCTGCAACCACCCAGCAGACGGGGGGGAATAAAAACCAAACACCCCGACCCCACCCCCGCTGCCAATCTCAACAGAAATGCTCACAACAATGAAAACCTCGGACAGGAGGAAGAGCGCCGCTGGGCGGGCAGGCAGGTGTCTTGCTCGGCACTTTTTTCAGTGCCGTTGTAACTTCGAACAGTCACTAAGCGAACTGTTGTAAGTAGAGGACTACCAGCACTTCATCACTTTTTTCCTGTTGTTTTTTTTTTTGGTCATCACGTTTTTGACACCTTGCTAGGCAACTGGTGGTACTCAGATATTGCCATATCCTAAAAGTGGTACAATGGGTGAAAAGGTTGAAAAGCCCTGACCTGGAGTAATGGTTATTCACCGCAGGCTGTTACTGAAGCTCAGTGGCTGTAGGTGCTCTCCGCGGGATTTTTAATTGTGATCATTACCTGTTCTGATGCTGTGATCTGCCGTGCTGATCTTTGCTATTTGCGTGTGATGTCTTTTTAGGGCCCCTGAAATTTTGATGAGGAGTGGGCACAACCGTGCTGTGGACTGGTGGAGTTTGGGGGCATTAATGTATGACATGCTGACTGGAGCAGTAGGTGCACACTTACAAGCTGCATGTTTTATTTTTAGTTTTGTTTTGTTTTGTTTTGTTTTGGAACATGTTTCATGCCTTTAAAGAATTTGCCATGTGGTTTTAACCTGCCTGTTGCTAAGCATGTGTGGTTAGATTTTTCTTGTTTATGAAAAAAAAAATCTCTTTTATATTCTGGTTTATTCAGAAAAATGATTGCCCTGTTTAAGTAGTCCTTGACTTACAACCACAGTGGAGCCTGGAATATTGATTTTAAGTTGTTGTGTCGTAAGTCGAGACACCATATGACCGGATTCTATTTTTAAGGCTATTTTTACGGTGGCAGTAAAGCGAGTCACTGCGATCAGTAAACAAATCACATGGTCTTTAGGGGAATCCATTCATCCAAACAGCCAGAGGGGGTTTTTTTTGGGCCAGAAATTGGCAAAAATCCACAGTCAGAGACTGCTGCAATCAGTCATAAATACGAGCTGGTTCCCTGGCGCTCGAAATGCAATCATGTGACAGGGGGAGGACCACAATTGTAACTTTGAGGACAGATTATATATAGCTCTTTTTTAAATCAATCATAACTTCCAAGTGGTTGTTAAATAACCAATTATAAGTCAAGGACTATCTGTATTTCACTCTGCTTCTTGGAATGACATACCAGTTCCATTTATGTTGATTCACAATACTTAACAGCTGTACGCAACAGGTTTGCTGGGAGGGAAATTCTCTTCCACTGGCTGGGCTGAATTTCTCACCCAAATCATACGATCTTTGGGTTTGCAGCAAGCTTGGAAATTGAATCCCTCAACTCAGTGCTTTTCCTTTTGGGTTTGCAGTCCAGGAATAGTACCGATTCCTTACGTGCTTACTGCCGACATTGTAGACAGGGTGTCCAGGGTGTGTGCCTATCAAAAAGTCAAGATATCAGTTGCGACTGTGATCAAATCTCTGCCATGTCTCACGTGATCACACACATCCCTGTCTGTGGAGAGTCTCAAGTCATCCAAGTCATGGTTGTCTCAAAAGGTGCAAACTGGACTTTCTTTCTTTGTTTTTCCTGAACTAAGAACTAAGCCTTCCATCTCCCCCCTCCCTCCTGCCAGAACCGATGAAGCTTCTTGGAGGAGAAGTGAAACTTCTTCAAGGAAAAATAAAAGTCCAGTTGCCTTTTGAAAAAACACCTAGGACAGTGATGGCGAACCTCTTAGAGACCGAGTGCCCAAACTGCAACCCAAAACCCACTTATGTATCATCGGGTGCTGGGTGGGTGTGGCCCATTGGGTGGGCGTGGCCCATTGGGTGGGCGTGGCTGCGGTGGGAACGGCAGACTGGGTGGGACTAAAAAGTTCAATCAATCAATTCCAACTTTGCGAGATCTTTTTTTTCCCCGCGAGAAGTTGAAATTGATTGATTGATTGAACCTTTTTTTTTTTTTTTGCATACGGTGGCAGAGGCCTAAAGGAAAAAGGTTTTATAAAACCCAGCTGAAGGCCTAGGACTGGGGTCGATGGCGCACGTGCCCACAGGGA